CTCCTCCTTTAATATATTAGAAGTCATGGAGTCACACAGCACAGACACGGACCCTTCGGTTCAACTCGTCCATGCTGACCAAACGAAAGCAAGTCCCACTTATCTGAATTTGGCCCATATCCCTTAACCTTTCCTATTCATGTACCTATTCAAGTGTCTTTTAAATGTTGTAACTGTACCTGTATCTACCACCACCTCTGGCAGTTCATTCCACATACAAACTACCATGTGTGAGAAAACGTTGACCCTCAAGTCTCTTAAATCCTTCTCTCATCCTTATAAATATGCCCACAAATTTTGAACTCCCCTTTGCTATTCACCTTATCTATGCCCCTCATGATTATATAAACCACTAAGGTCATGCCTTAACCTCCTACACTCCAGTGAAAAAAAGTCCCAGTCTATCCTTATAGCTCAAACCCTCTAGACCCAGCAACATCCTGGTAAATCTTTTCTGAACCCTCCCTAGTTTAATAATATCCTTCTTATAGCAGGGCATTAGGAATGTCCACAGCACTCAAGGTGGCCTAACCAACATCCTGTACAACCTCAATGATATTCCCAACTCCTATACTCAATGGTCTGAGCAATGTAGGCAAGTGTGCTAACCACCTTTTTAAACCATCCGGTGTATCTGTAATGCAACTTTCAAAGAACTACATACCTGAACCCCTAGGTCTCTCTAATCTTGCTACTGGCATTGTTGAACAAAGTTATTGCCTATGGTAATGACCACAATTATTCCTACAGAGTTCATCCTTCTCTGTACCCACTATTTGAGGCTGAACCAAAAAAACAAACTTGGCTACTACATTTCACTCAAATGAGCTTTCAGACTATATACCCTAGCCATTAGCAGAATCACATACCCATCGCAAACATTGCCCAACTTTGCTCACTTCATCTGCTGCTGAAATCATTGCCTTTATTACAACACATACCTAGCCAGCCTCCCACATTCCTCCTACTGTAAACAAGAAGTTAGGAAAATCTCTGCAAGTATTCTAACTTGCGCTATCCCATTCACCTGCATTTCTGCTGACCTGTATTTAAGAGTAACCAGAAATCAATTTAAAAAAAGCAACTTTTCATCCTGGTTTTAGAAGCCATCCATGGCCTCAACCTCATCCAGCCCAGATTGCATATCAATATTTATAGCCTCAAGGATCCTTGATTTTAACAACTCCACCACAAGAGACCATGCCTTCATTTACCAAAGCCCCAAGTTCTGGAATTCTTGGCCTAAACCTCTTGGCCTTAAACCTACTTCTTTGACCAAGCTTTTGGTCATTTTCCATAAAATCTCCTTTTGTGGCTGTGATATTAACATAAGGTGTCTATAAATGGAAGCTACAGTAATTGGAACTCACTCTTGTGCAGCTTTCATTTGGCACTCCTGATGTGTTGCTTAAAAAAAAATTAAAATCACTTTCACATGTGAAAGCTTGTAATAAGGACGAGGTATGTTCCTGAAGTGTAAGTTTTAAAAACTTGCAATTTAAAACTATTGCTGCTTTCAACTCAAGTACCCCAAAAATCCTTTCTACATACTAATTACTATTACACTTAATGCTTAGCTCCTACTCAACTCTTTCCACTTCCTGTTTGCTACTCTTCTCCCTCCCACTTCCCTCCAGCTAACTACTTCCATCTCCTGATCCCACTTGCTTACCATTCTGCTCCCTCCCTCATGCACTCCTTTCATTGCAGCATTGCTTGCCCCGTTTCCTTCTCATGCCCTTCAGGGGCAAGGGCTTGGGAAAAGGGACAAAAACAGCAGGTAAAAAAAGGGGTGAGAAGCAGAGCATTTTAAAAAGACTGAATGTGCAGTTACAACATTACTCCTGGCAAATGCATGGTGATCATGTCAAAACAAAAATAAAATTCAAGACCAGTAGCACAATTTGAGCAAGTTCCTTCATTTACAAATCCCATTAAAAAAAAAAGTCATTAACAGACATTAAGATGGAGAATACTTGTTCGTAAGTTACAAGACCAAAGAAGTTACAACAGTCAACTATTCTAGATGACCCAGTATTGGATGCACTCAAACACTGTACAGTAAACACAATAGCAAGCAATTTACAAAGATGCAAGAACTCAAACCAGTGAGCGACATTCTAGAAGCCAGCTATTTACTTGCCCTAACTCAGCTTCAAATAATTTAGATTACAAATGAGACCACTGATTGGGATAGGTTTGTGATGCCCCAAAATGAACACTTAGCAGAAAATACCAATTCTAGACCAGACCATATAGCAACTGTACCACTAGTCCAAAACTAGCAATAGGTAGTTAAGCAGTGGTTAGTGGGGCCAATTCAACATGTAAAATTAACCAACGCTGCCCAGAATTTTATACACTTGGCAAATATTCAAACCAAGCAAATGCAAGACTAATGTAGACAGCCTCAATTACTTATTGGAAATATTTGGGCTACGTTTAAAGCTTGGGAACACTGAAGACACTGGTTTAAGTCCCTGCTCCAAGCTTTATTTCTTATCTGATGCCAACTCTCTCTCCCTGGCAACAATCTGAGTTTATGCTAATCTTTTCATAATCTTGATTTCACACTTGATCTGGAGAGGAGCTTCTAACCTCATACTTTGGCCATTAAGACTGCCCATTTTCCACTCCGTATTATCACTGACTTTAGGTGGTTCAGCTCATCTGTTGCTGAAACCCTCATCCATGACTTTCACTACTTTTATACTGTTTGTTCCAACACACTCCGTAAAATAGAATGAGCAAAACTCTGCTATCCATGCTTTAACTTGCAGCAAGTCCTGCTCCCACGCTCAGGGATCTACATACAGATTTTAAAAATTTCCTCCCAGACTTAATTCTGCGATCTTGCCCCATCCATATTTTCACCCCTTAAATCCTCTGTTTGTCTCGAATTCTGCCCTCTTGTGCAAACCCTACTTTGAATTTCTTCACTATTGGTGACTGTACCTTTAGTTGCTTAGTCCCCAAGTGTCTCTAACTCCCCTTTCTCTGTCATTCTTTAAAAATTACCTCTGACCAAACCTTTGGCCATTGGACTTAATATTGCTAAGTGAGAGAGTCAGTGCCCTTTAAAGTAATGCTCCTGTGTGTGAAGTGTTTTGGCATATCTCATGACACAAGAACACTAACATTACTGAAGTTGTACATAATTAAACTTTCAAATAATTTAATAACATCTTTTCCTTGAATTTTGAATTTCTACCTTCCTAATACACATCATCCTGGAATCAACATAGACAAGGAATGTTGCAATGAATACCTTAAAAATGGTTCTGAAGGCTACTTCTTCAGTTTGGTCATGAAGTGGATAATATTTGATCAAAATGCAGCATTACGAACATGTCAAACATTACATGTTACAATACGATTCACCGGCAGGCCAAGGAGAGCAATGATACGTCACTAGTAGCTCAAATAATTTTTAAAGCATTGATATTTCAAAGCTAATTCTTCAATATTAAAAGTAGGGAATTTCTGCTAAACATGCACTGAACCTTGATTAAACTCCAATTGTGTGTATTACGTAGAAAAGGATCAATAAGCTGGTTGATCACTCCCTTGAAGAGTAGAGGTTATATAACAGATCTTTAAGAATGATGGAAGATTTTGATAGTGTGGATATAGAAAATGATTTCTCCTGTGGGAAGCATAACTATAGGTCAATGCAAGGAATGTAGGAACAGTGGAATTAGGGGAGCAATTCGGCCCTTGGAGTCTGCTCAACCATTTAACATGACCATGGCTGATCTTATCCTGGTCTCAACTCCACTTTCTTGCCTCCTCCCCATAGCCCTTTAACCCACTTTTCAGAAACATTTCTATTTCTTTCTTGAATCTGTTGATCGATTCTGCCTCCACTGCAGCGAGTTCCAGAGTCACAATGGAGGGAAGTAGTTTCTCCACATTTCAGTTGTGAACCTCCCTCCTTTCACTCCATATCTATGACCTCTTGTTCAAGACTGTCCTACAAGGGGGAAAATCATCTGTTCAACATCCACCATAGCAAACCCCTTTAACATTTTATACACCTCAGATACCCCCTCTTCTTCTGAGCTCCAGAAAGTACAAGCCTAAGCTTTTCAACCACTCCTTGTACAACAGCCATTTCATCCCTGTAATTAAATCTGATGAACCTCCTCTCAACTGCCTCTAGTACCACCACATCCTTCCTCAAGTAAGGAGGCCAAATCTAATAGGAATTCAGAAGAAATATCCTCATCCAGAAAAAGAGCAAAGTGAAAATTGCTACAACATGGAACAATTGAAGCAAACAGCACAGATATATTAACAGGAATCTAGACAATGATTTGGGCAAATATAGTTTTGATGATAAATTTAAATGAGAAAAGGCATGAGGCAACTCTATTGGAGTAGCAACACCATGCATAGACCAGTTGGAAAGAATGGTCTGTTTCTGTGCCATAAATCATGTAATAAAATTCAATAGCTGCTCTACATTCAATTTGTTTCATTTACCACTTAGAACCTTGAGAACAGTTCAATGGATTTGGTGTTTATGAACGTAAGAATTATTATAAAAAAAACAAAATTGCATTTATATAGCACATCACATCCTCAGTACACCCAACACCGAAATTAAAACCGAAAGAACTGCGGATGGTGTAAATCAGGAACAAAAAGAAAGTTGCTGGAAAAGCTCAACAGGTCTGGCAGCTTCGGTGAAGAAGGAAAAAACCGGGTTAACATTTCGGGTCCGGTGACCTTTCCTCAGAATACTTCCTCATGAAACTAGAGATCAATGTAATACAAAATCCTGAAAGCAAAAATTCTGTTGTTTTATCAGAGCCATATTTTATAACTATTAGTGAATAGTTCTTAATTATTTCTTCAGTTTATTAGAGGAGTACAAGAAATTAAGCTTTGCAATTAATCTTCAAGAGATAGTATTGCACACAGTTAAGAAATGTTCATATTACTGATTTCATCATCACTCCTAGATTCTCATTCTGAAATAAGCTGAAAGGACTGACCTTGCTGGTCACAGTCTTCTGGTCTTGATGGATTTGGAGCCACAGGTAGTGGTCTAGGTGGTCGCGGCTTGGGTGTCGGTGGTGAAATTTTCCGGAAACCGTGAAACTCTACATATGTTCCAGGGAAATCTCCCCTTTCCTGCGTTGTTTCGTTTAAGCCAGTAAGCCAGCCAATCTCATCTGGTCTTGCCTCATCTCCCTCGCTGAAACCCAGGGCTAACAGAGTATTTTTAGTGACAATCAGTATATCACCACAATGTAGATCAATATCCTCTTCTCGCTCCTTTTTGTACTCATATAAAGCTCTATATTGATATCCATCGGCACTCATTTTCTCTGTTGTCGGAGATGGAAAACACGCAAATAGAAGTTAGCTTGTTATATGCTCAGTAGGCGATAAATTTTAAAAGTGTCAGATGAACACTGCCCACAAAGTACTTGCCAACTGTGAACAGTGCTTACTTGGTTGAAAAAAATTACAAAAGTCTTTACACCATTTCCTTAAAAAAAAAAGCAATGTCACTCTAAAAATCAGCAATAAGGACTTGTGCTCTTCTTGATTTTGTCAACATATGCTAAAATAAAAGTACAATTCCACAGCTGAGTAGGTCATACACTTCCGGTGCCTCATCCGTAACATATCCATCAGTTAACTACAAACTATCATTGGTCTTAGTGAGCAGTCCAAACCTAAAAAGAAAAAGAAAGAAAAAAAAATTAACAAAAGTTTCCTCAATGTAGACTACTTAGCAAAGCTAGATCACATGAAATACAGGAAGAACAAGCCATATGGATATCAAACTGGCTCGAAGGTAGAAGACAGAGGGTGGTGATGGAGGGTTGCTTTTTGGACTAGAGATTTGTGACCAGTAGTATGCAACAAGGATCAGTGCTGGGTCCACTGCTTTTTGTCATTTATATAAATGATTTGGATGAACACAAGAGGTATGGTTAGTACAGCTTGCAGATGACACCAAAATTGAAGGTGTAGTGGACACTGTGTTACCTCAGAGTACAAAAGGATCTCGATCAGATGAGCCAACGGGCCGAGGAGTGGCAAACGGAGTTTAATTTAGATAAACATGATGTGCTGCATTTTGGAAGAGCAAATCAGTACAGGAGTTATATACTTAATGGTAAGGTCCTGTGGAGTGTGGCCGAACAATGAGACCTGGGAGTACAGGTTCATAGTTCCTTGGAAGTGGAGTTGCAGGTACGTAGAATAGTGAAGGTGGCATTTGGTATCCTTGTCTTAATCGGTCAGTGCATCAAGTATAGGAGTTGGGAGGTCATGTTGTGGCTGTACAGGACATTGGTTAGGCCACTTTTGGAATAGTGTGTGCAATTTCGGTCTCCCTACTATAAGAAGGATGTTGTGAAACTTGAAGAGTTCAGAAAAGATTTAAGGACATTGCGAGGGTTGGAGGGCTTGAGCTGTAGGAAGAGGCCAAATAGAATGGGGCTCTTTTCCCTGGAGCATTGGAGGCTCAGAGGTTTATAAAATCATGAGGGGCATGGATAGGATGAATAGACAAGGTCTTTTCCCCCATGGTAGGGGAATCCAAAACTGGAGAGAGGGGGGCAAATTTTAAAAGGAACCTGAGGGGCAACTCTTTCCATGCAGAGGGTGGTGCACGTATGGAATGAGCTACACGAGGAAGTGGTGGAGGTTGGTACAATTATAACATTTAAAAAAGACAGCTGGTGGGGTAAATAAATAGGAAGGTTTAGAGAGATATGGGCCAAATGCTGGCAAATGGGACTAGATTTATTTAGGGTATCTGGTTGGCCTGGATGAGTTGGAGCAAAACAGTGTTTCCATGCTGTACATCTCTATGACTCACTCAATAACTCTAAAAGCAATTTAAAAAGCAACATTTATTGCAAACCACTGCTAACGTGACAATAGCTCACACTCAATCCTTATCCAGATTAAAGCACTAAATCCACATTTATACCAGTCAATAAAACAAAGAAATGTGGATGTTGAACATCTAAAACAAAAAATTGCTGGCGCAACTCAGGAGGTCAGGCAGCATCTGTGGGAAGATTTTTCATCAGAACCACCAGGCTCAAAATGTTAACTCTGTTTTTGTCCCACAGATCCTGCCAGACCAGCTGGGTTTTGCCAGCAATTTGTTTGTGTTTATACAAGTCACAATTGTTCCAATTCACAACCTTACAAATGCATTTACTATCCAGGTCCAACTTTCAACATATGTATCTGCAAAATTATTCAGTTATACAAAAAAATGGAACAAACTGACAAGATATTGGCAAGAATGTACAATTCAACATTTGGAACTGTTTGATAGCTGCTTCATATTACCAAGATTGAAGTGTAACTTGAATTAGACTTTGAGATATATGGTGTCAAACATTGATGCAACAGCTGTCCCAAGGTACTTTTACATGGAGTCTTAATAAATAGAGAAATGGAACAGGTACAGTGATTATTTGTCTTCTCAAGCTCCTACCATTCCTGCAGTATAATAACGCAGTTGGAGTTAAATGGGAACTCAGCATATCTCCACCTGCCAGACAGATCTTACTCAAGGGAAAACACCAAGCTTAAGAGGACTATTACAGCAGTAGTAAGGTGATCAACCACACAAGAAAAACAATAGTCAGTTTTGATAATGAGTTAACCAGAAAAAATGCCAATCTAAAATAGTAATATAATGGAGCTGAGTTTAACTCTTCAGCAATGTTAGATTAGAATGATAACAAAATAAATATAGTTTTGAATTTAATTTTAAGAGGGAGCACGATAAACTGGCATACTATAAAGAGAACAGGTTATCTTACGATAAATATAAGCACTGTCAAAGGGGCCAAAGGGAAACTGCAACCTGGAAATGGAAGTTTAGCAAGAAAGGCAAATGTCTTCCAGAGTAATGCACCATGTGGATTTAATTACTTGCAGTGAAGCTCAAAAATTCAGTGCATTGTAAATTTCTTAAAAAAAAAATTTCAGATCAGAGCAAAAGATTCTAAATCCTCAAAATAAAAAGTAAACAATTTTAATTATAAAGGGCTTGGCCTTTTGTAAGTTAGTATACAAGCTCGATATCCCATTGAAGGTACATTCAATCCAAAATCAATTATAACTGGACTTGTACACATTGTTTCAAAAGGAAATAAATTCAAATCTTCACCTCCACAACTTAGGTGATCAAAAGGTTGCCTCCCAAAAAAAAGGGGTGTATAATGTACTACTACATCCATTTTTCTTCTGAAAACAAAGTAAGTTTAAGGAAGAAGCCTCTTTCAAGTTAACACAGTACAGTAACTTGAAGCGTCGCAGAACGATCCATATGGATTGCATTAATATCGATACGTGGTCAGCATATGCTCGCTGAGAGGCTCTCAAGGTTTCTTTTACGTTACAAATTTTTCCAAAAACAAACTTTAAAAAAGGTGTTCCAACGCGACTAATGCATCAGAATAGATGATCAAAGGTTGATCGGGGTCGGTTTTAGCTCCTCAATCCGAGACAATAAAACATTATTAAACCGTTTGTGAATGGGAACAAACCAAGGGGGAAAATCACTGCACAGTTAGCAGCATTTTCGTTTCAAGCTTTCGGTTCACTGAATTCGGGCGATCAACCCTCCTAATAAATTGTCCCCTTTCTCCTTTAACCGGTAGCTAGCAGCTCCAGCGCCGTTCACAAAAACGCAGCCCAAACCCCTTTAAACCAAGGCCGAAGTCTGACAGAGGAGAAGGACGTCCGGCCAGGCCACACTTCCATCCCGCTGCTGGAACCAGATGCCCAGAGGTGGTGAACAGAGCCAGCAGTCAGCGCGAACTGCCAGGCCGCTCACCCTCTTTCCCTCCCCACCCCCATTCCCGGAGCTGCCGGCCCGGCTCCAGCCGCGCTTTCTATAACTGTCACCGCTTCAAATAACCGCCGCTTACCGGATTCAGACTTTCTCGAGGGGATCTCGCGCCACTCACTCCAGTGTCCTTTGCTTCCCGACCCACCCCCTACACACACATATCCATTCGCGCCCTCCACTCCACTCCACTCCACTCCACACTCACTCACTTACTTACTTACTAATGGCCTCGCGCCGCTCCTCCCCAGCCTCAAGAACCAGTATTGTTCCGAGAAAACACGCCCTCCCTTCCGCTTTGCGCATCGCCGATTGGTAGATTTAATAGGAAACGGGCGCTTTTGAATATCAATCACCGTCCTCTCACCCCCACCCCCGTCACTTCTACCGCTCTCCACCCCGTACCAACAACTCGTGCTCAATTCTTGCAGCTGCAATGTTGGCAAGAAATGGTTGTTCACTATTCAGGCATGTAAGAACGCGTTACTTTTTCCCCCCGCTCTCATTTGTGATCTATTTATTACAATCGAGAAAACGAGTGTATTTTGTACAACCCATGAATATACACTTAAGATTATTAAAACTTATTAACATAAGTGCTTTAATTTTAGTTTCTCTTTTCCACCTCTTCACCCCTCCAACCCCCACGTATTTGTTGAGGGGCCCCTTGCAATTATGACACACTTGATGGAAAGCTCCCAAGGCTCTGCGGTTCTTCTTTTTGACAACCGCATTCTAGATTTATACAGTACCTTTAAGGTGGCTAAACATTTCACAGTACTTCAAAATGGTGTGATCCCTGGGGTAGTTTGGGAAGAATACTGAGGGAAGAGCTGAAGACTGTGCGTTGACCTTTTAAAAACATTTTTTAAAAACCTGAGTGGAGTTTTTAAGTTTGAGGACTGAGCAGCAGGGTGATTTGGAATGACACCTTTCAGTGCTCAGTGACAGTGCTGATAAAATCAGAGGTTTGCAGCACAGAAAAGGGCCCTCCAGTACATCGAGTCTGTGCGAGTCAAAAACAACCACCCAACTAATCAAATCCCATTTTTCAGCAGTTCTGATGAAGAATTACCAGACTCGAAACTTTAACTCTTTCTTTCCACAGATTGCCAGATCTGATGAGTTTTGCCAGCAATTCCTGTTATTGATTCAGATCTCCAGCATCTGCAGTTCTTTGTTTTATTTTCCAGCACTTGGTCCATAGCCTTGTATGCCTTGGCATATCGGTGTGTATCTAAATATTTCTTAAATGTTGTGTGGGTTTCTGCCTCTACCACCCTTACAGAGAATGTGTTCCAAATTCTCACCACCCTCTGGGAGAATAAAAATCCTCACATCCCCTATAAACCTCCTACTTACCTTAAATCTATGCCCCCAATCATTAATCCCTTCACCAAGTGGAATGGTTCCTTCCAATGTACAGCCCTCATAATTTTACATATCTCAATTATGTTCCCACTCAGTCTCCTCTGCTCCAAGGAAAACAACCCCAATCTACCAATCTCTCTTCATAACTAAAACTTTCCAGCCCAGGGGCAACATTCTGGTAATTATCCTCTGCACCCTCTCCCGTGCAATCACATCCCTCCAATAATGTGAGTTCCAGAATTGCACAAAATACTCTAGCTGTGTCCTAACCAACTTTTTATACAGTTCCACAGTAACCTTCATGCTCATAAAGTCTATGCGTCAGGTAATAAAGGGAAGTATCCCATATGTCGTCTTAACCACATTATCTACCTATCCTGTCAGTAGACATGCACACCAAGGTCCTGCTGAGCCCCGATGCTTCCCAGGGTCCTACTATTCATCATATATTCTTGTTTGTCCCGCTCAAGTGCATCACTGCACACTTAACTGGATTGAATTACATCTGCCACCGATTAGCCCATCTGTTCTCCTATCTAAATTATCCTGTAATCTAAGGCTGTTCTCATTATTTACCATCTCACCAATTTTTGTATCATCCTCAAACTTACTGACCAACCCTCCTACATTCAAGTTTGAATCATTTATATATACACCACCACCTGCAAGTTCCCCTCCAAGCTACTCACCACCTTGACTTGGAAATGTATTGCCATTCCTTCGGTGTCACTGGGTCAAGATCCTGGAACTCCCCTCTTAATGACATTGAGAGTGTACCTACACTGTAAATATTGCAGCAGTTAAAGAAAACAGTTGACCACCATCTTCTCAAAAGGGAGGGGCATTTACTGCTGGCCCAGTCAGCAGCATCTAGACCCCATGAGTGAATTTAAAAAAGTGGTCTCACTCTGTAAACACAGCATATCCTTCATCTTCAAATCCCATCACAATAATCAATAACAACTTAGTTTTATAATTACTTGCTGTACCTACTCATTAACCTTTTGTGAGCCATTCACTAGATCATCCAGATTCCTTTGCATCTGGGTACTTTGTATTCTCTCACCATTTAGATAATATGCTTCTTTTTATTCTTTGTGTGAAAATGGATAATTTTGCATACTCCCACTTCATAAGCCATTTGCCAGATGTTGCCTACTCGTGTTCCACAGGTATTGGTGCTGGATCCACTTTTGTTTGTCATTTATGTAAATGATTTAGATGAGAATTTAGAATGCGTGATTGGTAAGTTTGCGGATTACACCAAAATTGGTGGTATAGTGGACAGTGAAAAAGGTTATCTGAGATTACAAAGAGATCTTAGGCAATTGTATCAATGGGCTGAAGAGTGGCAGATGGAGTTTAATTTGGATAAACACAAGCTATTGCATGTTGTAACATAAACAAGGGCAGGACATATACAATTAAATGTAGGATTTCAGGTAGTGTTGTAGAACAGGTACATAATTCTTTGAAGTTTGTGTCACATAGCGTGGTAAAGAAGGCGTTGATCACGCTTGTCTTCATTGCTCAGACCTTTGAATATAGGAGTTAGGACATAATGTTGAGGCTGTACAGGACGTTGGTGAGGCCTCTTCTGGAGTACTGTGTCCAGTTCTGATCGCCCTGTTATAGGAAGGATATTATTAAGCTTGAGAGGGTTCAGAAGAGATTTACCAGGATGTTGCTGGGAATGGAGAGTTTGAGATACAAGGAGAGGCTGGATAGGCTGGGACTTTTTTCACTAGAGCATAGGATGTTGAGGGGTGACCTTATAGAGGTTTATAAAGTATGAGTGGTAGAGATAAGATGAATGGCAGGTGTCTTTTCCCTAGGGTGGGGAATTTCAAGATTTGGGGGGCATATTTTAAAGGTGAGAGAAGAAAGATTTTAAAAAGACACGTGGGCCAATTTTTTTTTACACTGTGGTTTGTGTGTGGAATGAACTTCCAGAGAAATTGTTGGATGCGAGTACAGTTACAACATTTAAAATACATTTGGATAAATACATGAATAAGAAATGTTTGGAGGTATATGGGCCAAGCACAGGTGGGACTAACTTAGTTTGGGATATTGGTAGGAATGGACTGGTTGGACTGAAGAGTCTGTTTCTGTGCTGTATGACTCTATGTAACCTGTCTACATCCCTTAGTATCCTCCTTATATCATCTTCACAAATTGCCTTCCTATCTAGAAGGGTCCAGACCTGAAACGTCAGTTTTCCTGCTCCTCTGATGCTGCCTGGTCTGCTGTGTTCATCCAGCTTCACACCTTGTTATCTTGCCTTCCTATCTATCTTTGTGTCATCAGCAAAGTTAGCAATGATACAATTTATATGAAGGGACAGAATGTAAAATGTTGAGGCCCTAGTACTAATCCCTGTTGCACACTACTTGTTATATCTCGCCACCAGAAAGTGAGTCATTTTTGCATCCTTTCTGTCTCTGATCACTAGCCAATTTTCTATCCACTCCAGTACATTATACGTTACACCAAGACCTTTTATTTTCCAAACTAACTGTTGTCTTCTTGAAGCCTAAGTTCAGTACTTCCGCCAGTTCATCTTTATCCATAGTACATTTTACTCCTTCAAATCACTGCAATATATTGGTTAAACTTGATTTCCCTTTCAGAAAACCATGTTGACTCTGCCTGATTACATTGAATTTTTCTAAGTATTCTACTCTAATGCCTTCAATAATGGCTTCTAACATCTTTTCAAACAAAATATTACAATCAACATTATCCAGTCCTTCCCTGATATAGAGAATATTGGAAATTAGAACTAGTACACTAACCATCTGACTAGCCACTTCTTTTAAGACCCAAAATGAAGTACATCTGAACCCAGAGACTTGTTGCCAGTGCGCAGCTCAGTCATACATTAAGGAAACAGGTCCTTCAGCCCAACTAAACTAAACTAGTCCCATTTATCTGCGTTTGCCTGTTTCCCTCCAAACCTTTCCTTTCCATACCTGTCCAAATGTCTTTTGAATGTTGTAAATGTACCTACCTTTACCTACACTCTCTGGCAGCTCATTCCACATACAACCTCTGTGTGAAAAAGTTGCCGCTCAGGCCGCATTTAAACCTTTCCCCTTTCACCTTAAATCTATGCCGTCGAGTTTTGGACTCCCCTACCCTGGGGAAAAAGACCTTTGCTATTCTTTCTGTAGTTACTCTTTTGCCCTAAATATACTTAGGTTTCTCTTTTAGCTCATCTACCAAAGCTATTACATGTCCCCTTTTTACCATCCTGATTTTCTTCTTAATTGTACTCCTACACCTGCTATACTCCTCAAGGGATTCACTTGATCCCAGCTGCCTATCTCTATTTAAGGAGGAGGCGATGGCCTAGTGGTATTATTGCTGAACTGTTAATTTAGAGGCCCAGATAATATTCGGGGATCTGGTTTCGAATCCTGCCACTACAGATGATGGAATTTGAATTCAATTTAAAAAAAACTGGAATTAAGAGTCCAACGATGACCATGAATTCACCATTGATTGTCAAAAAACCCATCTGGTTCACTAATATCCTATAGGGAAGGAAACTGCCATCCTTATCTGGTCTCGCCTACGTGGCTGCAGACCCAAAGCAATGTGGTTGACTCTTTACTGTCCTCTAGGCAATTAAGGATGGGCAATAAATACTGCCTAGCCAGCGACACTCACATCCTGTGAATGAATAAAAAAAAAAGAACTTGACATATGCCCCCTTTTGTTTGGCCACAGCCTCAATGTCCCTACTCCTGCCAACCTTGTCCTTCACACTAACAGGAACATGGTAGCCCTGAACTCTTGTTATCTTGCTTTTGAAAGCATCCCAGTTGCCAGATGTCCCTTT